GCTTTGAGACTATCACTTTCATTTTCTAGAGTTTCCACTCTATGAGCTAAATTCTCGGCTTCGAGTGCTTTCTTGTCTCGTTCCAATTGAAGATTCCTATTCTCGAGAGCTAAATTATCTTTTTCAGATTTTAGTTTGGCGTTTTCGGCCTCCTTAGTCCTTACTTTTTCAAGAGCAAGTTCTTTCTTTGCCCTATTACTACGAACAAGTAAACACAGTATTAAAATTCCCATAGAAAGGACTGCAATCCCTCCGAAGCACCCCCATATAATTCGAGATTTATGTCTGGCATCTTTTTGTGCTTGAAGCTCTATTCTATGTTTTTCTACTATAGAACGTGAGGCTTGTTCAAATTTAAGGAAATCAATAGAGTCTTGCTTGTGACTGTATTGTTTATACAACGATAAAGCGTCTTTGTAATTTCCTAAACCTTCAAAAATGGGTACTGATATTGATAAATGCCTAAGCGTGTCATATGGAAGACCACTGTTTTTAACAATGTTCAGTAACTGAAAGGCTTTATTGTCGTTGCCAACCTTATTATAAGCTAACGCAAGGTTAAGTGCATCATTCAGTGAACTTAAATTTTCTTCTTGCTCATGTATTAGGCCTTTTATATCATCAGTAGCCCCAAATTTTAAGGCATACGATAATTGAAGTCGTGTTAAGGACTTCTTTGAGATACTATCTAACGACGAAAAATGTTCAATAGAATTTATTATACTGTCGCCAATAGATTGATTTCCCAAGATTATAGCTCCGTCTAATGCTTTGAATAAGCAGTCTAGTTCCTGATTCCTAAAAGCCAAACCATTATAGATATCAGCTGCTTTCAAAGAGTAAGAGACATAGCTATCGATGTCGAATAATTCATTATAGATGTATCCAATAGCAACTAAAGTTCGAGCTATAGTCAGGGAGTCTGTTAAGTGAGGGTTGTCAAGGCCTTTAGAAAATGAATTCAAGGCATTATCATGATCCCCCTGATTTTGAAATATGCGACCACGATAATAGTAAGTCCGGAGCATATCATCTGGTGTGCCTTTCTCTATATAGTAATCACAGGCAGGTTGAAGCACATCAAATGTTGTGGTGTCGATATAGTTCTTATCGAGAGCCATTGACATCAGAAGAGCGTATTTTGCCTTTTGGTTTTTGTCTGATAATTGCCCCTTATCTATGGTAGATAATATTATCAACGCTGAATCTGGATGGGACTCCATCAATGCTTCTGCACGATTAAGCGTTTCTTGTTCCTTTGTACCAGAACAAGAAATAGTACTACAAGCTAATGATAGTAGCATGAGTACAAGGATATTATGGAGGAATTTCATAAAATCTTACAATGTTACTATTTTGCTTATATACCCGGATATCGTATTTCAGCTTATGGCAACAAGTGATACAAACTGAAAGACAGCTTTAATTGGGCGATTGAGACTGCAAAATTACTAAAAATTTTTCACTTCATCAATATTTCTTGACATCTAAAATCATGGTAAGCCTCTGATATTAGGCAAACTCCAGCCGTTTTACGAATGAATGAATCTTTTTTATTTTCATTTTGTAGATTGGAAAATAATCACTAACTTTGCGACAATAAAACAATATAAAAATAAAACATTAAATAAATATAGCAATATAAATGGCCGAAGATAGAGTGGAAGAACTCAAGAGGATATTGCAGCAGAATGAGGTGAGTGTCGCCAATGCTCATGAGGCGTTGGAGCACCATCTCAATCAACTGCACCGTCTTGGGGCAACCCTGGAAGATAACGTGTGTGAAGTCCTCAGGAAAGTAATTGCTCAGGCAGAGGCTATCGAGGAACTTGACCGAATAACAAATTGGACATGGCGAAAATAATAGCGATAGCCAACCACAAGGGTGGTGTGGCTAAAACAACGAGTTGCGTAAATATTGCCGCAGCCTTGGCAAAAATGGGCCGTCGGGTATTGTTGGTGGATGTAGATCCACAAGCGAACCTTACGAGCAGTTTCACTGATGAAAGCAAGATAGAGGCTTCAATCTATGATGCAATGAAAGGTGCTCCGGCACCAATCATGCACATATCGGAGAACCTTGATTTGATACCATCCCACATAGATCTCGCCGGAGCAGATATGGTGTTCAGCAATAAGATTGCCCGGGAACAGATTCTGAAGAATATCCTTGATGAACTGAAGGCTGGGTATGACTATATAATTATAGATACTCCCCCGGCTCTTGGTTTGGTGACAATCAATGCTCTCACTGCCGCTGACAGTGTGATCATATCAATCTGTGCGGAAACTCTCCCTCTCCGAGGATTGGTAATGCTCGATGAAATGATAGGAGACATCGCTCAAAGCATCAACAAGGGACTTCATGTTTCGGGCATCATAATCGCCAAGTACAATCGGCGCAAACTTGATAATGCGGTTATCGAGGCTATTCGTGAAAAGTATGGAGATAAGATCTACAAGACCTATGTAAGAACATGTGTGTCGGCGGCAGAAGCTCCGACCTATCGTCAAAGTGTTTTGGACTATGCTCCGGGATCCACCGTTGCGGAGGATTATAGAGCACTCGCAAAAGAGATAGACAATCAAACAATATAAAAATAAATAAGTATAGCAATATACAAATAAAACAATATAAAAAGTATGGCAAAAAAGACATTGACATCAGGATTGCTTGGTACAGTGACAGGCTTGAGCAAGGAGGCTGAATCAGTATCTACTAATTCGGCTGTTGCCCCTGTCGAAATGCCAAAAGAAGTGGCACCTGAAATACCGGGACAATCCGATAAGCGCAGACCGGGAAGACCATCTGCCAACTCGGGAGAACCGGAGATATGTGTGACATTCAAACTTCCGGACTCTCTTGCCCAGGAAATAAAGATGCTTGCCGTGGTTGAGCGCACAACTCAAAAGGAGATCATAACGGCAGCATTGAAGGAGTATGTTTCTCAAAGGGTAAAATGACAATATAAAAATATTTCAATATATAATTGAATAAATAAAACAATTTATATTGTTGTTAATTGGAGCGGCCACAAATGCGGTCGCTCCAATTAAATTCTTGTATCTTCTCGGTCTGAAAAAGGAGTTGATTTGTGTATGTCGAAAGGAATGACTATTTTTGTAAAGTGTAAAAGAAAAACATATTGATAATATACGCCCCCCTAATGGGGCACGAGGAACGAGTGCCCCTCTGTTCAAAATTTTAGATTATGAGTATAGATTTTAGTAAGGTTGATTTGAATAATTTTGATTTCGATACTCTTTCCGCGGATGAGTATCGGGAGTTTCTTCAGGCTTGGTCGGATTATCATGGTCGGCTGAACCGTGTTTCTGTGGATGTGTTGGAGCAGGAGTTTGAGCGTAAATCCGATTATCTTCAGTGTGGGGAGCATTATGAATTGTCAGAGCTTTATCCTGATGAGTTTGTAGAGTTGTTGTTTGAGAGAAAAGCCTTTGAACAGGGTGAAGGGATTATTCCTTTTGAGGAAGTTCAGAGTTATGAATATCAGTTCTGGTTGAAGCAGAAGATCCGGAACAAGGCTTTGAGGTCAGAGTCCTTCAATTCAGATGATGTATCGTCAGAGAAGATCGACTATAGTGGTTATCGTATGTGGAGATATAATCCTGTTGTGTTTTACAAGGATGGAAAGAAGAACAGGCATAGGTTGTTGCTGAAGGATGATGGTGAGAGTCTGAGTTTCCTCAATGGGCGGGACTTTGCGATATTGTCCCCGGTGACTTATGTAGGGCGTACCAACTCTTATAGGAACGCTCGGTTTCTTTATGCCTTTGCGATAGATCTTGACGGTGTGAGTATGCACGAGGTTCGGATGTTGTTGCGTGGTATGACAACTGGGGTTTATCCTGTTGCCAATATCATAGTCAATTCCGGACATGGGATTCATGTGTATTACCTGTTGAAGCGTCCGATTGAAATGTTCGCCACTCGCCTTGATGCTTTGAACAAGATGAAACGAGGTTTGACCAAGATTGTGTGGCTCGTGTCAAAACTTGGTGCGGAGAGGGCGCAGGTTCAGAGTGTGGTGCAGGGCTTCCGTGTGCCGGGAACCAAGACAAAGTTCGGCAAACCTATCCGGGCATTCTGGAACCGTTCCGCGCCCATGCACACGCCGGAGGAACTGAATAGCTTTTTAGGGCGTGCTTTTGGTTTGTCTGATGAAGAACTCGGACAGTTGACAGATAAGACTCCGCATAATCCGTCCCGTGTGACGCTGAAAGAGGCGCAGGAACGATGGCCGGAGTGGTATGCCTCACGTGTCATAGGACGCCGCAGGGTAGGTAAGAAATGGCAACTCAATCGTGGTCTGTATGATTGGTGGCTGAATATCCTTAAAGACGGTCAGCAGGTGGAAGTGCATCATCGGTACTGGTGCATTCTTACATTGGTAGTCTATGCCGTTAAATGCGGTGTGCCTCGCGATGAAGTTCTTGCTGATGCTCTCTCTTTGGTCCCGGCTTTTGACCGCAAGACAGAGACAGTGGATAATCCCTTTACGGAGGACGATGTAAACGATGCCATGAGAGCGTATGACGAGGAATATAACAAGTGGCCTATTCGGTTTATTGAAACAACTACAGGAATACGAATAGAAAGAAATATCAGAAAGGGACGTAAGCAACCACTTCATTTGATGATTGCTCGTGCAAGTCGGGATGTACAGGCATTGGCAAAAGGTAAGACAAATTGGTATGAAGGTAATGGACGTAAGAAAGGTATTAAGATAAGTGCGGATAAGAGTTGCCATGCGACACTTATAAAAGAGTGGCGAGCGAAGAATCCGGATAGCAAGAATAAATCTTTGTGTGCCCGGGAGACAGGACTCTCAAGACCAACTGTTACCCGGTGGTGGGATTCTGCCGAGCAGGAACCACTAAAACAATAAAACATTAAATAAATAAAACAATATATATTGTTTTATTGCTGGGCTTGCGAGTCCGTTTCATACTTCCCTTCAAGAACCATAACCATAGTATGAATGTTATTTGTAAGGAAAATATTTACGCCAGAATGTTCAGGTAAAATAATTTTCAGAAATATGAATTTTCAAAACAAATAACAAATGCTTTATCAATGGATGAAACAGAAGAAGAAAAGGTTGATCTTTTAGCAGTCAGAAAATCTTTCGAGAAAGATCCAAGAAAGGTCATTGAGATAGAGATGAACAAGGATGGCATATTCTCCGAGAGAACCATATATGCTATGGAAAACACGTTGAATTTAAGCCTGCTTTCTCCCCCTGAGGGACCGAAGCTGGCAAGTGAGGCAGAGGCTCTGTTCGTGCTGTCAAAGCGCGGAACTGTTTTGGAAACAACAGAAGCTGATTTCATAGAGGGATATATCTCCCCTATGGTGTACCGATCTTCCTCGATGAAGTTCCCGCAGGTTCCAATCGCCCCGAAGTTCGTGAAGATGATTAAGGATATGAACGCCGGAAGTGGTGTCCCACACGCTACGATCACATCCACAATCAACAACATACTCGACCGCTTTTTCAGTGGGTATTTGCTTGTGAGTAACCGTGTCAAAATGGGATACGGCAAGGTAGAGGAATAGCACAGGTATCCTCCGGAGGTCAGTTGTTTCAGGCGGTTCCATCGCTTGCGCGAGAGCAAATTTTTTAAATTTGCCATAGCTTAATAGGGCAAAATATTGGCGAAGCCACCGCATCCACTCCGTTGGGATGCTATATTTAACCCTATTAAGGCATGTGGCTTCGCCCCCTACAACCCCCACAAGGGGAGTGTCCTCTCCCCTTTGAACCCCACCGCCGGGATGACCCTTCCCGGACCCTCGGACAAGGGCTTCCAGCCCCCGTCACCCCCGGGCAGAGAGTGACCCTCTCTCTGCACTCTCCGGCAAAGGGAACAGCTCTGCGGCCGCCGTTCCCCTTGCATCCCTTCCCGGCCGTTTCCGTCCACCTTCCACTGAAAATATATGAGCCACTATACAGTCTGCCATTATGAGAAATGCTACGGTCCACCGGTGTCCTACTCCACCCATATCGAGAGGAAGAAGGCGGACGGAACGGAGCATGTGCCGTACAACATCAAGCGCAGAGACCTTACCAGACATAACAAGGAGTTTATAAAGGAAGCCCGGGAGATTGGCCGCAGCGCAGCCATCGAGAAAAGGCTTGATGCTGTCCGTCATCAGAAGGATGCCGACGGCAATGAATACGAGCGCAAGATCCGGAAAGGTCAGATATGCTGCATCGAGATTCGCCTGAGTGCTTCGGTCGAGGGTATGGCTGAGATCATCGAGCAGGGCAGGCTGATGGAATGGTGCCGGGAGTCTATCAAGTGGGCGCAGAAAGAACATGGCAAGGAGAATATCGTGAGTGCGGTTCTGCACATGGACGAGGAGACTCCTCACCTTCATGTGTCTCTTGTTCCTGTTGTGTCCGGAGAAAGCAAGAAGCAGAGGACTACAAAAAAGAGAGCCGCCAAGGATAAGGAGAATGCGGAGAAGAACGGGGAGGAAGCCCCGAAGAAGAAACGCCGCTACAAGAAAAAGGCGACAGTGGAGACCTTGCGGTTGTGTGCCGATGATGTCATGACCCAATGGGATCTGACAAGGCGGCATACCGAGTATGCCATTGCGATGGCTCCTTTCGGGCTGGAGAGGGGCGAGGAGGGAAGCCCTGCCAAGCATAAGGATCTTGCCCAATATTATAAGGAGCAATACGAGCTGCAACGCGGGCGGCTGGACGAGTTGCTCAAGGAACTCGCCGGACAGGAGGACTTGGTAAAGGAGAAGAACCGGGAGATTCTTAAAAAGGACAGTCAGATCCGGGAGCAGGAAAAGGAACTGAACGAGACCAGGAGTGAACTCACTGAAAAGAAAAATGAGATAGCCCGGCAACAGCAGCAGCTCGACAAACTTCTTCCGTTGATAGTGAAGGCGCAGGACAGGCTCGACACTTATACTGAAGCCGGAGAATATGCCGAGGGTCGCATAGAGTCCGCTGACCGTCTTCTTCAGGCGGCGGACAGCAGGGAGAAAGAGGTTGCCAAGGTTGAGAAGGAGGCATTGGATAGGATAAACAACGCCTCGATAAGTTTCCTTGCCAAGAAAGAGGTGGAGAGGCTTGCAAAGGAGAATGCGGAGCTGAAGTTGCTCGTGTCCGGCAACGCCACCGCACTGGAGAGAGAGGCCGCTGCCACACGGCATGAGAAAGCCGGAAGAGAGAAGGCGGAACGGGAACTGCAACATCTGAAGGAAACCGTGTCCGGCACACAGACCGCACTTGAGCGCAGACATCCTCTTGAAGCCCGGTTGATAAGGGAGCTTGTGTCGATTGAGATTAAAGATCCGGATTATCAGGATGCCATTCTTTCGGGTCAGACCTTGACATGGAAGAAATATCCGTTTATGGATCCGGCGACAGGAAAGAGGATTCCGGAGGAATATGCCGATAATATCTCCGTGAGGATTGAAGGACATGGAGAAAACTCGTTCATCTCCATGTGCGGTAAGCGTATCTCCGATTTCTTCCGGGATATTTGGGCAAAGGTGAAGGCTGCACTTGGAATAAAGCAGCGTCAGGAGGAAGAGAAAAGGAAGCAGCAGACACAAAAGCCGGACACGGGACAGACTCAGGAACCTCCGAAGAAAAGCAGGGGCAGGCGAATGTAGGGATAATGTGTCCTTACAGTCGGCTCGCCGTATAAACCGTAGGTGCGTAGCCTAATACGCACCAGTCAAGAACAGGTGCGCTTCCAAGATTGGAGCCGATGCCGGACAGCAAGCTGAATCAAGTCGTTTTCTTGCGTTTGTCGATGGCTCTGTAAAGGGTTGCCCGGCTAATTCCGGTTGCTTTGGTTATCTCATCTATCGAGTGCAGCTTTGAGTCGTACATCTTCAGAGCGGTAGATACTTTGCTTTCATCAGACTTGGGTCTGCCTCCATTTCGTCCTCTTGCCCTCGCAGCTTCAAGTCCTTGCCTTGTGCGCTGCCGTGTGAGATCTCTCTCAAACTGTGATAGTCCGGCAAAGATTGTGAGCAGCAGATTACCCTGTGGTGTGGTGGTGTCGAGCCATGTCTCTCTTAGTGATTTTATCGACGCTCCGGCTTCATGTATCCTCTCGATGATTGAGAGTAGTTCCTTGACGGAACGCCCCAGCCGGGTAAGTTCCGTTATTATCACGGTATCTCCGGAACGGAGTGAGTCCATCATCCTGTCAAGTTGCGGACGCTCATTTTTTACTCCGGAGATCTTCTCACTGTATATCCGCTCACATCCGTTCTGAGTGAGCAGATCTGTCTGCCCATCGAGGTTCTGCCCGGTGGTCGATACTCTTGCGTAGCCTATAATCATATTTTTTAGTTGCAAAGGTAATTAAAAATATTCACAATCTTATTTGTGTGTTCATTAAGTAAGAAATTAACGAAGATAATGAACGCTCAAATGAATATTTTTATTAACTTTGCATTGAAATGGAAACAAGATATCAAAATATAATAGGGCGGCAAGAAGAATTGAGGATTCTTCTTGATGCTGTAAATTCAAGAGAATCAGAATTTGTTGCCATATATGGGCGCCGTAGGGTTGGGAAAACATATCTGGTAAACAAGGCTTTCAAAGGACAATTCGCTTTTCAGTACACTGGGTTGGAAAATAAAAATAATAAAGAACAACTAGAAGCCTTTCATATGGCCCTGATAAATCAAGGTTTGCGGAAGTGTCCTAAACCTAAAAATTGGATAGAAGCTTTTTATCAATTACAACATCTTCTTGAATCTGTTAAGACTGACTCTTTGGTCAATAGGAAGAAGGTGGTATTCCTTGATGAGTTACCTTGGATGGATGTACCGAGAGCCGGATTTGTAGAAGCATTGGGTAACTTTTGGAACAGATGGGCCGGATGGACAGAGGACATCGTGTTAATTATTTGTGGAAGTGCAACTTCCTGGATGTTCAACAAGGTATTCAGAAATCATGGAGGTCTGTATAATCGCATTACCAAGCGTATTCCTGTATATCCGTTTTGTTTGACGGAATGCGAACAATTATGTAAAAGTATGAATCTTGGATGGAACAGAAAACAGATTGTTGAAGCCTATATGATCTTAGGAGGTATTCCCCATTATTGGACTAAATTCAAGAAGGAACAGAGCCTTCCTTCAAATGTCGATAGACTTTTTTTCAGGCGTGGAGCAGAGATGAAAGAGGAGTATGGTGCATTATTTTCATCACTATTTTCTCATCCGGAAGCATATGAGGCTGTTATCAACAGCCTATCTCAGAAGAAAAAAGGATTAAGTCTAAAGGAGATTTCTGAATTATCAGGTTATAAGCTATCTGGCAGATTATCTACAATTCTTAAGAATCTGGAATTATGTGGATTCATTGAGAAGGTCAGTCAACCGAACAAGAGAAAGAGAGATGCAACGTATCAATTAATTGATAATTTCGTACTGTTCTATCATGAATTTATTCTTAAGAAGGAAGTGGAATCAAATTATTGGAGTACTTATGTCAAGACTCATGCTCATTCAGCATGGAGTGGATTGGCATTTGAACGAGTCTGCTTTCAGCATAGAAATCAGATAGCGAAGGCATTGGGAATATCTGGAGTATACACAAGTTGGTATGCATGGAGTGCAGAACCAGATAAAGAACATGGCTATCCCGGAATGCAAGTAGATATGGTTATAGATCGCGCGGATGATGTCGTGAATCTGTGTGAGGCAAAGTTCTCAACAAAACCATTTGCCATTACATCGGAATATATGGAGGATCTTCATATGAGACAGGGACGGTATCAAGAAGAAGTAGCACCTAAGAAAGCTGTACACCTTACGATGATAACAGTTTCAGGAATTGTTGATAATCCACAAAAATATGAGATTAACTCATTCGTGGAGCTTGATGACTTGTTCCTTCCTTAAACGATGTAAATTCAAGGAGTAGGTTGCTTATTATAGAGATATAGAAAAATTTTTCTATATAAAATATTTTCTATATGATACCCGGTATCTGGTATATCGTTGGAATATATACCACTTTTGAGGTGGTATATTCAGAGGTTGGTGGTAAATTTGAGTCAAGTCTTATCGTGATAATAAAGAGGCGATATTTGGCTATAAGTATGCAATTCTACCCACTTATAGCCGAATATCCGTGTTGGGATACTCGGTGGAGTACTAATCGACTTATTTCCACAAGTGGTAAAAAAGTCCACTTATGGAAATAAGTCGATTTTTGGAATGGTTTATTATTTTAGCTATGTTGTTGATACATAGGAATATTTATATAAATAAAACAATAAAACAATAAAACAATAAAACAATAAAACAATAAAACAATAAAACAATAAAATAATAAAATAATAAAACATCGGTATTGAACATTTCTTGTTATCAAATTGTGTATATTGTATATATTTTATATCTTTGCATCGTAAAACCAAAAAGACTATGGCAACAGCAATAAATATCAAGCGCAAGAACATCGATCTTCCTGTCGATACGCTGCAAAAGTTATCCATTATGGCAGTGGCACAAGGCAGGAGTCTGAAGAACTTCATTGAGACGATCCTTATAAATAAGGCGAACTCGGTATCTGTGGAAGTTAGTGAAAATCCCTCTCCCTCCGGAGATCCGTGGTTTGACGACCCGGAAAACATGGCATCCGTTAGGCGTGGCATCGAGGATATAAAGGCCGGAAGATGTCGAGCGTATTCTATGGATGAAATAAGGGATTTGTTGGGGGTATGATTTACGAGCTGATCTTATCAGACGAAGCGAAAGTCCATTTGAATGAATGGAGGAAATCTGGACAGAAGAAAACGCTTAAAAAGATAGCGGATTTGTTCACAGAGCTTCAGGAACATCCAAAGACAGGTACTGGACAGGTCGAACAACTTAAAGGTGAATTGTCCGGCAAATGGAGTCGTAGAATAACGAAAGGCGACAGGTTGATTTACACCATAGAGGATGAGAAGGTGTTTGTTACCGTTATCTCATTGAAAGGACATTACAGAGACAAGTGATAATGTCTCATTACCTATTTATTAGTAGTTTTTTTGAGAAGTTGATTTTGATACTTCTTTTGAAACGTAAAAAGGCTGGCTCCTCGATACCGGGAACCAGCCTTTTAGATTGTCTCAAAAACGGTCGATTTTGACTATAAGAGAAGTTATATGAAATAGTGAGTAAATATATTTCTTCGTATATAAGGAATGTAGTCAATTGTTTTAAGACAAATTAAGGACAGTGCTGTCATTGTTATGATTCCAGCACAAAAATAGCTATAGATTTCAGTAGTGAAAATTGACTTTAAAGCAAGTAAAAATAAGCAGACATAGGGTAATATAATACATGTGTATAAATCCCATATATTATATATATTAGATGGCTTTAGATAGAGAATGTTATGATTAGCGTTATATCTAAAGGTATAGATTGTTGGTGAAAAAAAATCAAGAGAACGTAGTTTTATTGAAATAGAATCACCTTCCTTAGCATCTAATTCATACACACCCTCATTAGGTGAATAAGTGGTAGCATGTTGTCCATTCTTTAAGATAATGATTTTCGATAAAGAATGGTTATAACCGCAATTAATAATGATTCTCATATTATTGATTATGTATGTGGAGATTTAGGTAATTTTTATTCAACATCGAAATATAATGCAGCAGCACCGGATGCTAATACTGCACCAGGACCACTAAGGAGTCCTCCTATTGCATCAGCTGAAGCTACTGTTATAATGTAGTCGCTTTTGGAAAGAGTCTTATCATCTTTCTTTTTCTCATCAGCTCTTGTTTGTGGTGTTGATTGGTCATTGCCAGCACTACAATTGCTATATCCTTCCAACTCAACATTAGACCAAAAATTTACATTATTAGAATTTGTCCAATATTCGATTGAGCCATATAGAATACCAAGAACTTGTGCAATCGCTTGGGTATCGATGTCTGAAGGGTACTTTTGAATATAGGTATTGTAATAGTCATTGATAAGAGAATGAAGATCGTTTAGTAATGAACTGTTGTCAAATAAGTTTTCATCGGAAATATTAGCTAATTTTTCCGAGATTCTTTTAGTACATTCATTTAGCGCCTCATACGCTATGGGATTTACTTGGTTGACAATATTGTCATTATTCCCTCTGGTCTGCAATGTGAGTGGAGTCTCCAAACAGAACATCAGATCTTTCATTGGTGCTAGTTCTCGGGAAATTTTAGAGGCTTCATTTTTGCCATATTGGATGATTATAAAAGAATCAAAAGCAGATTCTATGAATTCTTTATCGCAAATGCCATGGGAATTCTGTATCTCGGACTTGATGTAATCCAATCCAAGATTATGGGCATCAGCATATTCAATCAGAATGTTTTCTGATTCTGAATAGTTTGGGGTGATTCCATCTTGCTCTTCGTTAGTGCAAGAGGATAGGAGGCTTATCAAAAGGGTAGATAATGCGACTCCAAGAAGAATGATAAATTTGGGTTTCATTCGAGAGTTTTATTTATATGATTAATGTTAGTTTAGATTTTGAAAACAGGCGCTTTCTGAAGAGGATATTTACAATGAAATAAATCCTTGTGCAATCCATGTTTCACCACTGATTTCAAGATGAAACTGTCCAGAATCGTAAGGCAGTTGGATTATTGTATTTATTGTGGAGTCATATCCAATTAAATTTTCACCCATAAAGACGAAAACCTCGCCATCATTTTCTCCGTCGTAGGATATGTCTATAGAATTACTTTCTGCATCATAGAAAGCTTCTATAGAAATATGTTTAGGAGCGCGATGGACTCCTGTATTGTGAGTCCTTAATTGGGTTATTTCCAATTTAATGGATTGAGAAGAAGTGTTGGTCTTCGATTCCTGCGCCATCGCCTGAAATGCTGCCATTATCATTACGATGACAAGAGATAGTAATTTAGTCATTTTGATATGCGTTTTTGATTGATTTTGATGTTGCAAAATTACTGCCACGGACTTTCAGATGCCAAATCAAAAGTTTCATATCTAAAGAATTTTTGGAGATGTAAATATTTGAAAATTAATAATATACAAATGGGGGGGGGTGGTTTATTTTGGAATAGAGGGTGATGAACTTTCATAAGATGGACTATCTGAAAGTTTTTGGAGGAAAATACGAAGATTTGTAGACTTGGGAGCCATGCCAAATTTGTTGCGGATAGACCAACTTAGGTTGTATTGGCTCTTAAATCCTGTTATAAGTCCATATTCTTTTCCGGATAATCCACATAGCAAGGCACACATGTATCGGATCTCATGTGTTGAGAATTGATGAGTATGTATTTGTTTGCTAAGAAAAGTGTTTTTTGATGCAATAGCATCGAGAATATCCCCCCAAGGAATATCATAGATAGAGAATTCAGTGATATTCGATGTATTTGTTTGACCTATGTCCTGATTTAGATAATACTGAAGAATGTTTCTATGATGGGAAACGATTTCTTCCATACCAACGGATCTGGTCGCTATATGATATAGCAATTTAGAGAGAACGGTAAGTGCTAGTTCTCTCGGTGATAATAATGAGATGTCTTTACGAGGCATTTTTTTATTACAAAAATACCTCACAAAACATTCATTAAAAAAATAAAAGTTTCAGCTGTATGCTATGTAAGATTCTAATAACTATAAATATAGACTGTGTGAAAGTGGAAATTTTGGAATATGATAATATTTACTTTCAGAATCAAGGCTTACATTATAAATTTTTGAGAAGTTTTCGCACATATATACCAATATTGGTTTCGTGCTTGTCAATACCTAATTTCTTACGGATGGCACTACTCGTATTAACATGGCTACGCTTATTCATGTAATTACCCACTTCCTTTCCTCTCAATCCAATTGCGTAAAGACATACGTAATTAATCTCATCGGTGGTCAAGTTGTGATCTTCAAAATACTGTATGAATCGTGGATGAGAAACCTGAAAAGCCAATCTGTTAGAGTTCATGAATTCATCCTTGTTGTCGGTAAGCTCCTTAATCCAGACATCGTAAGGCTTCTCATATTGGTCGTTATTAGTAATGTAACTGGCTAGTAGTGAATTCAGCATCTCAATGCGGACTTTTATTTCTCTTTGAACTTCCATGGGGAGTTCTTCTCTGCTGTTAATTAGAGCTTTGAGACTATCACTTTCATTTTCTAGAGTTTCCACTCTATGAGCTAAATTCTCGGCTTCGAGTGCTTTCTTGTCTCGTTCCAATTGAAGATTCCTATTCTCGAGAGCTAAATTATCTTTTTCAGATTTTAGTTTGGCGTTTTCGGCCTCCTTAGTCCTTACTTTTTCAAGAGCAAGTTCTTTCTTTGCCCTATTACTACGAACAAGTAAACACAGTATTAAAATTCCCATAGAAAGGACTGCAATCCCTCCGAAGCACCCCCATATAATTCGAGATTTATGTCTGGCATCTTTTTGTGCTTGAAGCTCTATTCTATGTTTTTCTACTATAGAACGTGAGGCTTGTTCAAATTTAAGGAAATCAATAGAGTCTTGCTTGTGACTGTATTGTTTATACAACGATAAAGCGTCTTTGTAATTTCCTAAACCTTCAAAAATGGGTACTGATATTGATAAATGCCTAAGCGTGTCATATGGAAGACCACTGTTTTTAACAATGTTCAGTAACTGAAAGGCTTTATTGTCGTTGCCAACCTTATTATAAGCTAACGCAAGGTTAAGTGCATCATTCAGTGAACTTAAATTTTCTTCTTGCTCATGTATTAGGCCTTTTATATCATCAGTAGCCCCAAATTTTAAGGCATACGATAATTGAAGTCGTGTTAAGGACTTCTTTGAGATACTATCTAACGACGAAAAATGTTCAATAGAATTTATTATACTGTCGCCAATAGATTGATTTCCCAAGATTATAGCTCCGTCTAATGCTTTGAATAAGCAGTCTAGTTCCTGATTCCTAAAAGCCAAACCATTATAGATATCAGCTGCTTTCAAAGAGTAAGAGACATAGCTATCGATGTCGAATAATTCATTATAGATGTATCCAATAGCAACTAAAGTTCGAGCTATAGTCAGGGAGTCTGTTAAGTGAGGGTTGTCAAGGCCTTTAGAAAATGAATTCAAGGCATTATCATGATCCCCCTGATTTTGAAATATGCGACCACGATAATAGTAAGTCCGGAGCATATCATCTGGTGTGCCTTTCTCTATATAGTAATCACAGGCAGGTTGAAGCACATCAAATGTTGTGGTGTCGATATAGTTCTTATCGAGAGCCATTGACATCAGAAGAGCGTATTTTGCCTTTTGGTTTTTGTCTGATAATTGCCCCTTATCTATGGTAGATAATATTATCAACGCTGAATCTGGATGGGACTCCATCAATGCTTCTGCACGATTAAGCGTTTCTTGTTCCTTTGTACCAGAACAAGAAATAGTACTACAAGCTAATGATAGTAGCATGAGTACAAGGATATTATGGAGGAATTTCATAAAATCTTACAATGTTACTATTTTGCTTATATACCCGGATATCGTATTTCAGCTTATGGCAACAAGTGATACAAACTGAAAGACAGCTTTAATTGGGCGATTGAGACTGCAAAATTACTAAAAATTTTTCACTTCATCAATATTTCTTGACATCTAAAATCATGGTAAGCCTCTGATATTAGGCAAACTCCAGCCGTTTTACGAATGAATGAATCTTTTTTATTTTCATTTTGTAGATTGGAAAATAATCACTAACTTTGCGACAATAAAACAATATAAAAATAAAACATTAAATAAATATAGCAATATAAATGGCCGAAGATAGAGTGGAAGAACTCAAGAGGATATTGCAGCAGAATGAGGTGAGTGTCGCCAATGCTCATGAGGCGTTGGAGCACCATCTCAATCAACTGCACCGTCTTGGGGCAACCCTGGAAGATAACGTGTGTGAAGTCCTCAGGAAAGTAATTGCTCAGGCAGAGGCTATCGAGGAACTTGACCGAATAACAAATTGGACATGGCGAAAATAATAGCGATAGC